TATGAAGAAGGTGTGATATGATGGTAGTGGTGGATGTAGTAAGTAATAAAGAGGGATAATAAATTTAATATATTTCAAATCAGTTACAGCAACCATTATTATTAGCGCCATTGCCGCCTTGGTTTTTGTTATTCTTTGATTCCAAATCAAGTTTCCTGGGTGGTTCTTGAACATGAGTGTCAATGAGTCTTTTCTTGATATCTCTGCATAAGAAATATATGTAGAATTTAATATGATTTAATCGAACAGTGTCGCCGCAAAAATATTAAAAAGACACAAACCTGGCCAAAGTGAAGAAAGCTTCCTCGACGTTAATATTGGCTTTTGCGCTCGTCTCCAAGAATTTAATGCCAAATTCATCGGCAAGTCTTTGACCTTGTTCTTTTTCGATGACCTGTTTTTGAGATTCCAATGAATGTTTGGTTAATCAACTAACTGACAGTAACTTTTCATAATGAAATGTTTAAAAGATCGTATACACACCTTTTTTTCAACCCAGTCACATTTGTTTCCGATAAGAATCTTATTCACGCCTTCACTAGCATGTTGCTCTATATTCGAAAACCAGTTCCTTATATCTTGAATTTATAACAGTAAAATTAGACGATCCCTTATATCATTAAAGGAAATGCTGTATGAAGAGAATTATTAAGAGCGGATATAAACTTACTAGTGAACGACCGCTCGTCCGTGACATCATATACCAAAAGAATACCCATTGCACCACGATAATAGGCTAATTGGAAAAATAATTTTCAATCAAATTAGATAATGTCGATAGATGATGAAAATAATTGTGGGGGTGGGGGGTTTTTTTTATTGATGCTGCTGCTTACCTGTCGTGATAGTACGGAAACGCTCTTGTCCTGCAGTATCCCAAATTTGAAGTTTGATACGTTTGCCGTCTAATTCGATTGTCCTAATCTTAAAGTCGATACCAATGGTAGTAATGAACGAGGGAGTGAAAGAATCATCGGAAAAGCGAAGTAAAAGACAACTTTTGCCGACACCTATCATTAATGTTCATTATTTGATTGTTTAATATTCATTATTCGATAAATATCGAAAGAATCTAAATGTCCGGTTTCACAACTTTGTTCTGTCTATCAAAAGTGAAAAGAAACCACTTTTTTTTTGTTCCTCCTTGTAGGGTGTATTTCATTTATTTACCTGAATCACCAATCAATAAAAGTTTTATGAGGTAATCATAAGCGGCACTCTTGCTTGTGGTCATTGTGATTTATGTTTAGTTTACGACGTGAGAGATTGCTATACACGTAATATAGATTATTAGGCGAATTGCAAGGTGAGTTGTAAATTTTTTTTATTCGATCCTGAAATTATAACATTTGACTACTTACACAGACTTAAAAATTAATACTAATCGAAAAGATAATATTATATGATTATTAATAAATAGTAATTCAAGAGGAGTGACGGGTATCTTTATCTTTTATCTCTGGAAAGAAAGAGTGGCGGCAATGGTTTGCATTTCCGAATTGATGATCTTAATATAGTCATTGATTGCTGCTACATTATATATATCTCTTTAAGTAACACGACGCGTTCTAAAAAACGGAAAATTATTACTTGCATTCTTTTGATCATCAAATATGTCATCAAAAAAAAATTTTTTTTATTTGGTTGTAACTATTATGGAGCGAGTTCCCCCCTTTTTTTCTCTTTGTATTACACTTATCATTATTACTCAAGTCTCTTTTAGTATGAAATCATCATCGATCTTTGAGTTCTTCTTTCTCCTCTTCTTGCTGCAAAAAAAGAAAAAATCGTTATTTGTGTTGTTAGACAAGAAATGTTTGAGAACTCAAATACTAACCAATAATTGCATTTGTTCCACAAACCACAGAGGTAGATTTCGTGGGAGTGTTATCAAATCCATATCGAATAACTCGATAAATTGTTGATTTACATAACGTGCCTTATTTCCTGCATAACTACGATACTAGAAAGAGAGGTTAAAGTAAATTCGATTCCGATCTCAATTCCAATTCTAATTTACCTCGGCAACAATTGAACTAAAACTCCAATTCTGTAATTTACGTAGACATCCGATAAAAGTACCAGTTTCGTGAATTCCAGAACTTTTAAAGAACAAGTATGATGTTCATCAAATCAAGCAATTTAATTTTTATTATAACCCCGGAAGGAATCTTACGTGCACATTACAAGGATAGGATGATTCCCAACATCCAACACCAATTCCAATCCATCCTTTATTAACTCTTCGCTCACAGGTCTCCATCCAATATTTGGTTTCCAGGTTCTTAGGCCTAAATGAATCTTCAAGTTTGATGATTTTTTACACCCTGATCATCTTTTTTTATTAGAATTTCATTTCATGATTTCATCACATTACCAAATTGGTGTTATTTTCTTCTAAAAACACCGTGACAGCTCGCGTTGGAACCTCTGGCGATAAAATGACTACAGTTTTTAGATCAAGAGATTTTATAAATGGAAAATGTGATTGATGAAGCATGTCTGATCGATAAACTCCTTTCTCCACTATTCCAAACTGTTCAGGTGGTGTCAACATTTTTTTTATCATCATCATTATCCCACCGTATATTAAATTGCGATTGCCAGTCATGTGATCATAAATGTGCTTCGTATATGACCGAAAATAAGAAACCTATTTTGGTGATCGTCCAGGCGGTTCAAAATGTTGAGGTTTCTTATTTTCAGAGATTTTATGAGTTTGGAATGGGCATTTTCTTATTTGAGACTTACAACGAGAAAGATCATTATCAAATGATCGGATCAAAGTGATCTATGCGAGATTTCGCGTCGCGAAGTTAATAGAAATAGGAACACGCAAATTTTTGATCAGCCCAAGAAAAATAGATCTAAACACTAATAAAACGTATTTTTCTACTTATTTGGCGGTTTCTTGTTTTCAGTTACTTGTCATTTTCCTAAACTTTTTAAAAACTTGGGGGTTTCTTATTTTAAATTTTCGGTCACATACAGTACATCGGGAATATTATTGGGGACGAAAGGACAATCCATTGGATTGTTCATTTCCCCTCTGTGCGGCAACGTTAAAAGTTGCGGAAACACAAAAGGGAGGTCTCATTTCTTTTACATCATTAAAAGTTGAGCATCTTCCCTGAATAATTCTCTTATTGGATAAAAAATTTGTATGGGCCGATCGGTGATCGACAAATATATACATGCATCAACTCTGAATAATAAAATATTGTAAAGGAACAATTGTTATGATGGAAGTTGATCAAGAAACTTCTATTCATCC